ACATGCATGAATATACCTATTTTCTAGCGATGTGATTGGCCCAATGAAACGTAGTGCAATATGCATTACGTTTTCCCTATTTGCTTGAACAAATAGTTTCTTAAATTTAATCACTAGGCATTTGTAAGTGAAATTAATTAAATCCTGGCCAATTCGTTTTCAACAAATCGAAAATATAATGCGTCGTGCATTACGATGCCGTTATTTTCGCCCATATTTCATGTCATTTTCTGGATTATGTGACAAACATTGTTGCCCCGACATGACTTGAACTTACGTTTTCAAAGTACAAGTAATGGTGAGGTAATCAGCCATTCAATTTTATGTGCTAGTAGATCTCGATCGTGTGTACTAGGTGATAAGTGTGCCGGAGGATGCAGGAAATGCCCAACACAGCGAACCTTAAACGTATTGGAGCATACCTCGCAGCTTGATCGCACTACCTTTTATCATTTCTACTAACGTTACTCGAAGTACGTAGGAGTAGTCACAGTTTCGGACGAAAAATACCGGAAATCTCTGAACTTTCAGGTTATTTAAGTAAAATTAGTGTTGTACGGATCACGAAGATACGTTGACTGGATCTGATTGGTTTACAATAGCGTGTCAGTTAGGCGGTGATATGAAAATGGTGTAGTATTAATTTTATAATATTCAAATTTCCCAAATTTTCTGACGGATTATTCGAGACCAACACTCTCGATGACACTCCATGTTTCCAACACCCCATGACGGATATGTCACTGTGATGACATGTCATGATGACATACCAAGGCAGGCGTCGACTGGTTGGCGACGCGGGAGGGCAAAGTCGTGAAACCCGCGCACAGACGCACTGCGTGTGCGGCGCAGAGCCGACGTCCCAGACGATGTACTACTAGTATTACTAGTAATCGGGGGAGGGGCGATGGGGTGGTGGTACACTGCATGGGGGGGTTGTTGTGGATCGGTGGCACAGCCACTTGGCGATTTCTCCGGCGACAATGACCTACGGAACCAAGACAACAATCATATATATAAATATAAATATATTTCATATTTCCCCAGGTTGCAGGTCTGAATCCAATCAACCGACACCATTTGAAAGGACGACGATGCCCCACGTACGAAGGCATCGGAAGCGACCGTCGGCGCTCTCGAATCAAGGTCGACGTAGGGCTAACGTCATCACACGCATGCCACGCTTGTCTACATTTGTCCTTGGATGCTATAGGAACATACATCAGTATGATAAAATCATAATATTATTTATTTTATATATATATATATTATTTTTTACTTCGAAGTAAAATATTTTAATAAAATACAAAAATACTTATACGCGTAGGTTGGTTGGAACATGATTGAAATAACCTATCCATTTATATATATATATATATATATATATGTACCTTGGAGAGTTGCAGCCAGTGTTTTCTTCTCCATTAACGCCATCCGCTGCGTCCATTCAAACATGTGGGTGGTGGCAGAATGTTGGTCGTCGGGACGACATCGAGGGGACGAAGAATGATGGTTCATCTTGTGTTGGATCGTTGCATCGTTGACCCTATGATCATCATCACCGGTCGGTCGTGGGTTCGTTCGACTAGTAGTACTACTAGTATGACTACTAGTACATTTCAACGTACAAGTGCTCCTCGAGGTCATCTACAGTGGTCGCAGGTAAATGGTCTAGCGGATGGACCGACGACGAAGACGATGCCATTGGTGGCTCTGTATTGTTGGTCGTCCAGTGGTCTTGCTTTAGTCGGAATGCACACGAGTCATATGAAGATAATGAGGCTTGATGGTGGTGATAATGCTTCTCGGGCGATGGCTCGCCGTCGCTGTCTTGACTGGGGTACATGGCCCTCTCGTCCGAGTCATTGGCATCGTCGTCGTTATAGCAGTAAGACGATGGCAAGCTCACTTTGGTGTTTACAACACTGGCAGCATCAACCTCGACAAGGAGAGGCGGGTCGTCCACGAGTTGTTGGTTGAGCGTTGGGGCGATAGGTGCAGTGGTAGTCACGCGAGTAGGTGAGGAAACACGAGTAGGTGCAGTGGAGAGGTGGCTGGCGGTGTTCGAGTCGACGATGCACGGGCTGTACGATATGTGGAGCTCGATGCGACCATGGGGTTGAAGCGCATGCCAAAACGCTGTCGCATGTGGAGGCGACTACTCACGATCAAAGTCAGAAGGTGATCGAACACGTGACGAAGTACCTCCAATGCATCAAGGGATATCAATGTGGACGCGATGATTAAACTGCCACACAAGACGTCAATCCCCAACCACAAGTCCCTGGACAGGGCCACGTTCAACTGCATCGACGAGGATCCGCCTCCTTCTTGCCACACGAGGGTGTTGGCCTGGCCGGCCGTCGAAGCCGTGGCGCCGACAACGCCGAGGGCCTTCCCTCCCACCGACAGATGGAACTTGCATCGAAGGCCATGCTGTGGAAGCATGGAGGACTCGACCACCTTGCGGAATGGCAGCGCTGAGACTTGGACGACAGTGACGGTGAGTTGCGCGGAAGAGCTGAGCGAGTCACGGCGGGGCGTATGAGCGTGGGTACTGTGGCGGTGTTGGGTAGTCGTGCCGATGGGGGTCCCCTTGGACCCCACCGAGCGGAGCGGCAGTGGACTTGCTAACATGGCGGCACCGAAATGTAAATGTTACCGAGAGCTGGAGCATGTTCTTACTTGTCCTACACAGAACCCAGGGAATTTCTACTATGTTCGTCGTTCGCTTGAGATCGAGGTCCTTCAAATGAGGGGACGCCTCAGATCTATCTTTGCAAACGAACGATGCGTTGTGATTGGTCCACATCACTTCAAGTACGTTTTTGATTGGCTATTTGCTGACATGCTCATTGCTGCCTTCAATGCAATTACCGGTAGACATGGGGGGATAGGTAGGGGTATACAGTACTGCATATATACGCATCGTAGTATTGTA